AAGCATTTCCAGAAAGTATCAAGAGCTTAGGAATATGAGAACCAGTCATGGGAAGTGCTCAAAAGGGAGGTGATCCCTTTCCTAAAGAAGAGTCATGTCGCAACGCAAACAACATTGTTGCAGTTTCCAGTCACATACACTGACCACCCAGCCTACGTCTGAGGCAGAAACTTCCACCATCCTCAACCAAGTCCTGTACATTGCTTTGGTGTGAATCACTCTGACTGTGAATAGTCCATCAGGAGTGACAAGTGCCCATGCTCCAAGACTGTATTTAGTCTGTATCTGAGTAACTCATGTGTCATCCCCCCATGCTGCCTCAGCCTAGCTCACAATACCCCAGGTGACCCATCTGCTGTGAAATGGCCCCATGTCTGCCATGCATATCTAGTAGGAGTAGTGGGTGAAAAAAGGAGGATTCCCCACACCTGCATTTAGAAGGACTGAACTGAAAAAACTTAAGGTCCCTAGAACTGAGGAAATGGCTATACTAAAGTTTATAATCTCATATAGCCATTCATTTCCAAAAAGTTCATTCTTATTGTTTAATAAGAATTCAGGACTTTTAAGTATTTTCTAGTTTTACTTTCATAAATGGATAAGGGAAAAGTATAAAGGAACTTACTTTGTTAGTTTATAAAATTTTAAGTATTACCTAACACTGAGATATTTTGTCCAATTTGTACGTACTGTTAATGTATATGTGTTTCTCTCTCTGAATAATGCAACAGATAAAAACCAACCAACGCAAAGAGGGTAAGATTTGATGCTCAAGAATGAGGAAAACAACAAATGCATAAACTGTGTATTGTCTGATGACTAAAGTGATTCCAATTAACTGTGATCATTTGAAAGTACTAAATATACTACTCTAAATGGCTTATCTTACAATCATCTTTCTGAAGCCAGTAAGTGTGTCCTAAAGGATTTCTAAACACAGTGTCACAGCAAACTAAACTCTCACCTTACCATTTATCTTTAGATCCCAACAGATACTGAAAGACTGCAAAAAGGGAGGGTTTTGGTTTTTGTTTGTTTGTTTTTCGCTTTTATTTTATTTACTTGTTTTTCTGAGGATAAACACTGAGGTTACCAAAAAGGGAGTGCATCAATAATGGGCATATAGATTGGCTGAAAGGAAATGAGTAAAAAACAAAAAAATTAAGAGATACACAAAGAGTAAAAGAATGTATGAAGAAAAATCTTCCAGGGATAACTCTTCCCCCAAGTTCAAAACAGCAAAAGATCCCCCAGAAAAGAAGCAAACAACCATCCTGGGACTTAATTACATTGCAAAGTAATGCATGAAAGGATCATGAAAGTTACAAAACAAGTTACATGAAAGGAACAAAACATTTTTGTTCAACAGTTTCCTACCAGATGGCATTTCTAAATACAGTAATCTAAAACCTTCTGTTTGTTCTATGAATAAAGATGAAAGGAATAGCAACAATAGCTAAGCATTGAAATCACTGGAAATAAAAGAGTATTTTGATTAGGTTTATAAGAATCTGGCTTATTCCAAGAACAATCCTAAATGTGGGAAGGCTCAAGTTCTAGGTGAAACTCAGAATCCCAGCATTCAGGTACTGCTTATCTACTTGCTCAAAGTGATGCTCATTCAAGGCAAACTTTCAAGGTGGAGGAGCAAACCAGGAATGAAAACCAGGAGACTTGGGGATAATCTGAAGAAACACAGAACTCCTAATCGATAGAGACTCTAAAGGGCTACAATCTAAATCCCAGAAGCATTTTTTTTCCTAAAATAGAAGAGTTGGTACATACCCTAATTTTTGTGAGCTACTGTGTAAATGTGTGTGACTGGACTTTGGCGTCAGATAGAACCAATATACAAATCAAGGCTCTACAAATGACTGGCAGTATGAGCTTGAGCCAAGTTCTTTACCCCTCTGAGCCTCACTGGCAAAAACAGATAGTAACAGTGCACAGTTTTCTTACCGACCAGGGTTCTTGGCCTCCTTAATCAATAGGAATTGATAAGAAACCAGACAAGAAATTCAGGCAAGGCTTTACTGGGGCCCCTGCTGCAGCCGCGGGCAGCAAGAACAAGCAACAGGTCCCCTTGCTTCCTCCCTGGAGGTGGCGGGGTGGGGGAGCTAGTTCCTTATATGGGGTGAGGGAAGGGATGTGTCCAAGGGTCAGGCCGGAGGGGTGCCTTAGATGGTCTGCCTACCCCTTTGGTGGCTGTGTGCAGGGGGCATGTGCAGTCCCCTGATTTTGCTCCTGGCTCTTCAGAAGTGGCAGTTGGGTTTTTGGTCTTTTTGTATCTTGTTGTTCATTATTTGACCCAACTGGCATGCAAGCAGTTATTTTTAGTCCCTTATAGTTTCTTTGTATTTTGTAGCAGACGTCTGTCCAGGTGTAAGTACTGCAGCAAAGGGTCCCAGATTCCAGCCTGTCTCAGTTTTATGGGAATGTACTTATGATACCTAGTTAAGTCCCAATGTTTTACTCTTTTTTACTATTACTATTTTACTATTATTAGCAATAATAATCATAATAATTATGTTTCTGATTTTTTTGCCATTTCAAAAGCATGGAGTAGTGCACAAAAAGTTTTTCCGGCAGTAAATGGAGTTCTAAGAGTAGAAATCAAAGCCTTACCTGGCATATCTCCAGTGGTCACTCCTCATACAGCCCTGCCCTCTTCTCACCTGGCTCTTGAAAGTTATCGAGAATTCAAGTGGGGAAGGCCAATCTAGAGACAGAAGTAATTTTTTTTTTTAAACTTGGAGTATAGCTGCTTTACAATGGTGTGTTAGTTTCTGCTGTACAATGAAGTGAATCAGCTGTATGTATACATATATCCCCTCCCTCTTGGACCTCCCTCCCAGCCCACCCCCCCCATCCCACCCATCTAGGTCATCACAGAGCACCAAGCTGAGCTTCCTGTGCTTTACAGCATGTTCCCACTAGCTATCTATTTTACACATGGTAGCATATATATGTCAATCCTCATCTAGAAGCAATTTTTGAGAATTGGCTGTCAGAGTTCTGCCCATCCCAGCCTGTTCTCATTAATGACTTCATTCTCAGTACTCTCTGCTGAAGATTTAGAGGCTTGTGAAAGAAAACAAGAGTTCCTTTTTGATCTGGTTAACTAATGGCATGTAGGGCCATTCCCAGGGACAGCATTGGTATAACACTGATAGCATAGAGCTTATCTTGGCATCTGAAGATAAGCAGTTTAGTCACCTGGGAGTAGCATAATTACCTTGAACAAATAAAAGATATGTTGCAATTGCTTAAATATGGAGCAGACTACAATGAATGGAAGGCTGGTGTTTAATGGCTCTTAAAGTTCCACTGGGTTGTTTGCTGAATTTTACATGAGGAGTGAGCCACCTGCTGGGACTGAAGCCCTCAGTATTAAAAGATGCCTATGATTAGGCTTTGATATAGAAAGCAATTCCTTTTTTTTTTTTTTGGTACTTCAAAAATTGTGATAAAATATACATAACAAAAAATTTACCATTTTAACAATTTTTAAGTGTATAGTTTCAGTGGCATTAAGCACATTCACAATGTTGTATAACCATCACCATTTCCAGAAATTTTTCATCATCCCAAACAGAAACTCTGTAGTCATTAAACAACAACTTCCCATCATCTCCCCCCAGCCCCCCGCCCTGGCTTAAAGCCCTTGGTAACCACTATTCTACTCGACTCTGTCTTTAAGAATCTGTCTATTCTAGAGACCTCGTACAGGTGGGATCATAAAATATTTGTCTTTTATGTCCAGTTTATTTTCAAGGTTCATCTGTGTTGTAGCATGTATCAGAATTTCATTCCTTTTTAAGGCTGAATAATATTCCATTGTATTTCCATCCACCCATCCATGGACACTTTGGTTGTTTCCACCTTTTAGCTATTGTGAATAATGCTATCAACACTGGTGTGCAAGTATCTGAGGCTGTGCTTCCATTTCTTTTGTATGTATACCTAGAAGGAGCATTGCTAAATCATATGGTAATTCTGTTTAACTTTTTAAGGAACCGCCAAACTTTTCCACAGCTGCTGCACCATTTTACATTCCCCTCAGCAATCTACAAGTTTTCCAACTTCTCCACAAACACTTATTTTGTTTTTTCAATAATGGCCACCTTCAGAAATAGAGACACAGAGGTAGAGAACAAACTATGGACACCAAGGGGGGAAAGTGGGGCAGGGGGAATGAATTGGGAGATTGGGATTGACATAAAACCACTAATATGTATAAAACAGATAACTAATAAGAAAGACCCTGTGGTATAAAAAATAAATTAAATTAAATTTTTTAAAAAATGGCGCCTAGGGCTTCCGTGGTGCAGCGGTTGAGAGTCCGCCTGCCGATGCAGGGGACACGGGTTTGTGCCCCGGACCGGGAAGGTCCACATGCCGCAGAGCGGCTAGGCCCGTGAGCCATGGCCGCTGAGCCTGCGCGTCCGGAGCCTGTACTCCGCAATGGGAGAGGCCACAACAGTGAGAGGCCCGCGTACCGCAAAAAAAAAAAAAAAAATGGCCCCCTAATAGGTATGAAATGGTACTTCTTTCAATCAGATTATCCTAAGCAAACTATTTTTATAAACTACACGACGAGTTATTATTACACGGTTGTCTTATCCTGTATATAAAATGCTACAAACATCCTGTGTAAGTCTCACAGGAGAAGGTAAAATACGGTTATTATATGTTAAATTTTAAACATCCTAACACCAATATTTCTCCAAATCAAAAGCAATCCAGAGTTTTCGAACTGCAGTTGAAAATCCTACAGCAAAGAAGTATATCCGTGCCTTACCGAAGGGGTCACCTGTGTGATACCAGTCTTGACAAAACCAAAGCCTCAGTACAGCCTAAACTGCCTCAGACTTGACCCGGAGGCGGGACTGCGCAGCCCGAGTGCGCATGCGCGTCTCGAGGCGCGCTCCCTGCCGGCCTACGTGCGCGGGCCCGCGGAACAGCGTAAGGGCGGGGCTCGTGAATCTAGTCGTGGCGGCAGTCATGGCGGCTGCGTCGGGTTCAGTTCACCTACAACGCTGCGTGGTGTCGCCGGCTGGGAGGCACAGCGCCTCTCTGATCTTCCTGCATGGCTCAGGTGGACTACAGTTTTCCGTCCCGGTTACTGCAGCATGGGAAACGCCCCCCCCCCACTCGGTTCCCCCAGTGTTGCCCTAGTGGGGGAAGCGCTGGCCCCAGTAGGGCGCGGTGGACTCGGAGAGGGTGACTCTCCCCTCGGTAGCCCCGCGGCTGTGGACACACGGGTCTGGTAACCTGTCCCCGGCCGTCCTTACCCCCCACCCCACCCTTGTCTTCCTTTTGCCTGTCTTGCAGTCACTGGCCCGCTGTTCTGGCCTTTGTGTCCCGTCATTCGGCCAGAGGCCCTCTGTTTACATTCTCTCCATTGCAACCATTGCCACACATTCCCCTGCCCCATGTCTCTCCCCCAAATTTAAACAGAGCAAGTTAGAAAGGTAAGTCTTTTGCTAGAGACAAATAACATTATCTAGTACTTTTCAGAGTCAGCTACTAGTGATTGGAATTTTCAACCGCAGTGGATTATTTATCTCCTTTCTGTGAGGGACCATGCCAGGGCTGGAGTGCCTTTCCCCCTTCACTCTTTCCTGCTCCCCCTTCCTTCTCCTTTCCCACCCCCCCTTGTCTTTCAGACCCCAAGATAAAGCACAGAGTCAACTCTGAATCCCAGGGGTGGTATTCTCCTTCCACCGCCTGCCTTTAGTGATGTGTTTAATTCTGTATAGCGTTTCTTACACTTACCTGTAGTTACTTCTGTCTTCCCCACTTCACTTCTTCCTCAACAGTAAGGACGCTTGTTTGAATCTTTGCATCCCTAGTGCGGCCCAGGGTAAGTTCTTGGGAAGTGTTTTTTAAAGAAATGAAATGCAGCCTGTGTCCTCAGGGGGCCTACCTAAATTTAAAAACAATTCATTTAGTTTGACTCAGCAGTGGAGATCACAAGAGATCACAAGATGGTGCATGATTTACTGCCAAGTGAATTGTAAGGAAAAAAACTTTGGATAGGCATTGTTAAGGCTTTTGGAAAATGAAGAGCTTGTTAGGTTTGCCAGAGGAAGTGGTCTTTAAACTGGGACTTATGTAGGCTTAAAGAGGACAGTCATTGGATAGTGGAGAGGATTATAAAGGTACAGGGTGGAAACCTGGAAATGGGCAGTTGTAGGAAATATTCTCATTTTAAAAATGAGTCTGGGTAGATTGAATAGTTTGTCCATGGTCACTTGGCTATTACTGTGAGTGGTGGTGGAATTGGGATTTGAACCCAGATCTCTGACTCCAGAATCAGTGCTCTGGAGAGGTAAGTTGAAAAAACTCTGAATTAGGGTGTATCATTTTGGAAATAGGGAAGAAAAAGACCAAAGATGTTTGAAGGGAAAGACTTGACTAATGAAATATACTTAGAAGATGAGGGGTCTAAGATGACAGCGATGCTTATAACTCGGAGACTAATACTAATATTATTTGGGGCTCCAAGGGTGTTTATAAGCACCCGGAAATTCCCCAATACCATAGTCCTTTTAATAAGTAAATAATTTCATAAAAAGTCTGAGACTTCTTTTTTCCCTGGACAGCTTTGCTTAAAGTTACTATCCTCACTCTTTTCAATTTCAAATTACTGACATTTTAAAATTTGTAACCATATGTCTCTGAAAGCCAAAGTTGTACGTATATATTTTTTCCCTCTGTGCTTTGAACGAAGAGTGTATCCAAAGAATCCTGCCAGTTATGCAAGTATAATGCAGTTCCTGTGTATTTTGAGCTCCAACTTATTGGGAATATGATTTTACATTAGACAATAATATATGTGGTTATGTTATAGGATATGTTTGGCTTCTGGTTAATACAAATGTGGGCAAACCGATTTTAACAGCTTTACCATACTCTTGGAATAAGGTGCTGGCTTTTTAAAGAGCAGACTTTATGAATGAATGGATGCATGTTGTTTTGTAGCATTTAGTTTTGCTTTTCAAGGTTGAAAAAGTGTTTAGAGGCAGATTTTGTTTTTTTAAAAAATCTTGAAAACTTGAGGTTCTCTTCTAGGCTGTGGCAGCCATAGAACATCCTATAGGAATAGAAGTTATATCTAGCCAACTTAATTTGAGTGTTTCCAACTACTAAAATACCAAAAAAGTACCTTCTTCTTTCAGGATGATGAAAACAAATGATAGCTTAATTAGCTTTGCTCAGCTTCTCAGATTAGATAAATTCACTATTATACGCTCCATTAGGACACTGTGGTTCTTCTTCCAGTGGCATTCACCGTATTTGTAATTACCTAATTTAATGTCTGTATTCCACACTGAGCTATAAGGTTCACACAGGCCCAAATCATGCATGACTTGCTTTCTCCCCGTAGAGTAAGTCTCAGCAAATTGACTGAGTTGGCTCTTACTAAATTCGCCAGTAACCTCTGTGTTGCTAAATGTAATGGACATTTTTCAGTCATCATTTTATTTGAACTGTCAGCAGCATTCACCTTTCTTCTTGAAACACTCTCCTGGTTCTTTGTATGTATTTTGCACACTCATTCTCCTCTCCCTGGCCATTAATGTTGGGCTTCCTCAAAATTCGGTCCTAGGTTCTCTTTTCTTCTCCCTCTACATTTTTCTCCTCAGGCTAAATTCCATACAAGCCCACAGATTCTATTTTTATCTCCGTTCATGTGACACAAATATGTGTCTCCATTTTAGATCTCCTTTGAGCTCTAGACCTGGTTATCCAACTGCCTAATAGTCATTCATGCATTAATCTATGCATTCAAGAAATATCTATTACATGGCCACTGTGCAAAGCACTGTTCTACGCTCTCAGCTCCTAAGAACCTGGATTTTGTCCTCCACCTGGTTGTAGGACCCTTCGTGTAGGACCCTTCGTGTAGGACCTAGAATGCATTACAAAGAGGGTACCTCACACTCAGTGTGTATAGACCTGCTGCCTCCTGTGTTTCCTGTCTTGGTGTATATAGCTCTGGCCAAAAACCTTGCCATCACCCTAGAAACCCTTCATAATTGACCCCTCATAACTAATCTGTTGCCAGTTTCTTTTAATTTTATCTCCTAAATATTTCTAGTATCTATTTCTGTATACTCCACTGCTATCACTGTAGTCTAAGCATCTGTCTTCTGAACAGTAGCCTCCTAACTATCCTTCCACATCTATCTTTGTCCTCCTTCAGGTCTGTCTTCACATAGCTTCCAGAGTAATCCTTAGAAGCATGCCCCCTTTCTGCCCCCAAAAAACCTTCATGGCTTCTCCATGCTCTCAGGCTTTGTCGGGACGTTAGGATCCATCCTGCATTCACTGCTTTTCCTCTCATTTTCTGCTTTTCATTTCAATGCCATACTGCTTCCTGTACAGCATTTCAGCATTTGCCATATCCTGTCTGAGATGCTTTTCCCTGTGCACTTCAGTTTTTACCATCCTGTAGATCGCAGTTCAGACCATTCAGCGACTATCTACTGGATGCCTAGTTTGTGTCAGCACTGTCCTAGGCATCAGATGAACAAGTAACTCACTGGCTGAAACACAAAATGAACCTTGCCTTGTGGAGTTTATATTCTAGTGAAGTTATCCCTGAATCCTTAACTGGGTCAATTCTGAATCTAATAAACCCTTGAGGTACGAAGTGTCTTACCTTTGCAGTGGTTACATTTGTCTTTCACATTTATTTATATGATTATTTGACTAATGTCTGTTTCTCACAATAAACTATACACTCCATGAATATAGGAATTCTTTCTCCCCATCACCTTCCCATCACTGCCTCTCTAGCAGTAAGCACAGTGTCTGACACATTAGTAGGTATTCAATAGATACTTTTTTAATTGCTGCCTTAATGAATTGATTGATTAAAAACTAGAGTTGTTAACTTGAAAATTTTCTCTTTAGGACCACATAAAGTAAACTTATAATTCCTTCCATTTTTTTATGGAAATACACATATATTAATTCTTGCATGAGGCTTGGTTGTTTTTCAGCCATGGAATGTACAGTCATTATTTTAGATTAAACATTGCCAAAATTAAATTCTCATTTCTTCAGGTAAAAAATAAAAGTATGCTGAATACCCCTTTTGAAGAAATTTGGTTTTTTAACCAAGAAAATTGTTTTAGGTTGTTACAATTACAAAATTTTATAAGCACTTTAGGAATTTACTATTTTTAAGAGTAAAAAAAATAAATGACAGTGTTTAAAATCAGATATGGAAAGGATTTCTTTTTTAGAAAAATCAATTGCTTTATTTGTTCCTATTGTATCCTTTAAACAAATGAGGAAACTTAAAACTCAAAGTTAAACAGGTCTTTAAAGTGAAGTCACGAGTAAACTAATCAAAATTATTTCTAACTATTGATGGCTGATCAGTTATTTCCCATTAATAAATCTGTTTCTATACAGTTATTTTTATTTATGAAGATTTTTTTATTCTGTGTTCCAGCCTCTGTGTGACATGAAAGTTATAGACTGCTTTTAAATACACTGTATTGTCAAACTCTTTTAACCTAATCTAGATTTTGTGATTCATCAGGTGATTCTGGACAAGGATTGAGAACGTGGATCGAGCAAGTTTTAAATCAAGATTTCACATTCCAACATGTAAAAGTTATTTATCCAACAGCTCCTCCCAGGTATGCAGTAATTTAATTCATTACTCAGTATAACTCTGTGGCATAAAATATATATAAATGTACCAGCTAGATGGTTTTACAGCTTAATTCTGTATTTAAAATATTTTAAATTGGGGTTCTTTTTTCCAGAACTTTTTTTTTGTTGTAGCAATTACTCTGTTAGACCAAGTTTTGCTAGGTAATTTATTCTTTGAAAAGCACTCCCTGAAGTTAACTTAAACTTTGTCCCAGGCATGGTTTACAGGACTCTGCTTTCTGTGGCCCTGCAGATTGCTCATCTTTCAAACTCTTTTCCCCTTCATTCACCCCCTAAAGAAACTAATAACTCAAACAAGGATAATCTTTCTAATAATTCAGTTAAACCAGAGTTCATAATCTCTGGAAAAAGGCTTTTGTGGCATTCTTTCTACACGTAGAAGGTTTTAGAAATAATTTTAAGCTTTTTGAATCAGTAAACCAGAATAGGAACATGGAATCAACTACTTAATCCATATTTATACAACCTGTAGACGTGTTTAACAAAATGCACAATCATGGTATAGTTTTGAAGTCAAACTGCTTTTTTATGATTATTAAATTAACATCCACATGGTCTTTTAAACTGGGATTTACAAGTTTTTTTGTGTGTGTAAGTGAAATATTGTGCTGAACTATGCAACCCAATCTGACTTCCAATGATCTGTTCTTGATTTGGTCTTATTAGCACACTGTGTGCTTATGCAAATGCTTTGATTTATTTTTCTGAAACTTAGTATTAAGGAGAAGTATTGATAGAAGCAGAACTTCAAGGACCTTTTCATATCTACTGTTAAAAATTTACTTACCTGAGTTGATAGAATTGAAAAAGGTAGAACAATAAAATGGTAATTTTGTTGTAAGATTTAAGATTCAAAGAAAAGTTATTATTTTAATATAATTTTGGAGCAGTTTAGTATTTTGGTAGTGAAGATAAAAGACCTAATGGCCAGTGGGTTATTTTTGTGCTGTAAATTGAAGGTCTTTGAAAATGTCCAAAGAGCTTATTATTTACTATTGGCTTTTAGGGTGAGTGAAGTTAAGAGGGAGGAAGACAGTGGTATTTCCCATGGGAATGGGAAAGATAAGTTTCAGTTTTGGCTAAATATAAATGTAATTGGCTGATAAAATTGAATGGAAGATCATTGGAAGCATGATTCTAGGAATTACTATTTTTTGCTTATGAATATCATGTCATCACCAATTATGATATGAATTCTAGACCAGTGTACCTTATACTTAGGCCACAGATGTTTCTGAGAGTCCAGAAATCTCCATGTGCTCTAAAGCATTATTTGTAGGTGCTGTTGTGATTTAATAAAATATAAAAGCATTGAAATTTTTTACTGAATTCATAGTAACTTTTTATTATATGTTTTCATAGTCAATAGCTATTTGGACAGATCAACAGACATTTTAGACCATGCTATCAATGGAATATACTATAAGCTACATATATACATTTTAAATTTTTGGCACCAAATTAAAAAAAAGGACGAAGAAACAGCTAAAATTAATTTTAATAGCTTATTTTATTTAACCCTTATATCCAAAATACTATCATTTCAACATGTAATCAATATGAAATTATTAAAATGATATTTTACATTCTTTTGTCCATTTTCGTGTCGTAGACCATTTTAGTTTTTATCCTCAGTTTATCACTATGCATACCTATTTATCTTATTTCTTATTTTCCTTCAGGAAAAATTCCTAGAAAGTGCTCAGAGATCTTAAAGTCAATTGCTTTTTGTTTAGGGGATTAGCTTTTCCAAATTATTTTCCACAAATGGAACAATTTGCATTATTTAACTTAGCCTGTTATTAATGTAATGTGGTTAGGTTAAAAAAATAGTAGATTGGGAATTCCCTGGCTTTCCAGTGGTTAGGAATCAGTGCTGTCACTGCCAGGGCTCCAGGTTCGATCCCTGGTTGGGGAACTAAGATCCCACAAGCCACGTGGCACGGCCAAAAAAAAAAAACAAAAGTAGATAGATAGGTAGGTAGTTAGATAAATAGGTATAGATGTGTGATTTTTTTTTCTTGTACACTCAAAAATTTTTAAATATTTTTTCTTGGTCACAAAATTAATTGTTGCCTTTACAATGATACCTACTTTATAATTTAACAGCCTCTCAAAGAAGACTGAAAAGAAAAATATAGAGTTGTGTCAAAATAAGAACAGACTACTAATTTGTTGATCAATTTTAAGCTTAGTTAACGGGTATGTGCTTTGGAAATATATTTGAAGTCACTTTTATGTTATAGTTAGACATTTTTAATACCATTTATATTTCAATATATCATAAATTAATAAGAGTGAAGCATATGTAATACATATCTAAGTGACAAATATAGTAATAAATGAAAAATAAATCCACTTGTTATTCCTTGTAATTAGTTTGAATGAAAAATCTGGTATGTACTATACAACGTGGAATCTTTGAGAAACCAGTACTTCAGTTAAAGAGGAGAAGTGAAGACTTTTAGAAATAGGTCATCTAATTCTTAATTAAAATAAAATTATAAGGACTATTAATGAAGAATTTGTCAGTTCTGTGTCTTAATTTTCACGTCGGAAATTAACAGATTTGACTAGATCTCTAAAATCACTTACAATGATTAACTTTTTGGATTTGGGGACCCTTCAGATTTTATCTAGTAAAGATAGAGTAAGAACCAGTAGTGTGGGACTTCCCTGGTTGCGTACTGGTTAAAAGTCCACCTGCCAATGCAGGGGACACAGGTTCAAGCCCTGGTCCGGGAAGATCCCACATCCCGCAGAGCAACTAAGCCTGTGCACTACAACCACTGAGCCTGCGCTCTAGAGCCTGTGAGCCACAACTGCTGAGCCCACATGCCACAACTACTGAAACCCACGTGCCTGGAGCCCATGCTCCGCAGTGAAGCCACTGCAATGAGAAGCCCATGCACTGCAATGAAGAGTAGCTCCCGCTCGCCGCAACTAGAGAAAGCCTGTGTGCAGCAACAAAGACCCAACGCAGCCAACAATAGAAATAAAAAATTTAAAAATGTCTAAATAAATAAATAAAATAAAAAACAAACTGGGTTTATATGAAGTTCAAAACCAAGCTAAACAAAAATCATTTGAAAAAAAAGAACCAGTAGTGTAATACTCATCGTCTTCTTTGCTGTACTTGTTAGGCCAGTAGGTCAGGGAAATGCCCAAGATGATAATATTATTCAGTAGGAGATTGAAGATACATGGAAGTATTGTGGTACAGTATTTAAGAATGCAGTTTTTGGATTAGGCAGACCTGTGATTGAATCCTGATTTCTCTACTTAATGCTATAAGATTTTGAGCAAAGGTATATTGCCTCCCTAATGGTGTCCCAGTTTCTTGAGCACTGAAGTAGAGATAATTGTATCTACCTCAGAGTTGTGAGAATTGGACGTATAATGCACATAAATTCTTCAGCACGAAGTCTGACATAAAATAAGCACTCAATAAATGTTAGTTACTTAGAGTAGTCTATGATATCCTTGTGGGCAAGATATAGAGATATCCAAAGAATTACCGATAATCCTTGAGGAAATTTTCCAGATCTGTGTTTCCGGGTTGTATTCTTAAGCCTTATTTGGGTTTGAAGCTTTATTTTAATTTAGGTGAGGAGACAGTGCTCAAATTTCCAGATGATATCCTCAAAAGAAATGCCCAGTCATGTTGTTTGCCCATGTTTTTATTTGGTTGTCTATCCTTTACTTACTGATTTGTTAAAGCTCTGTATATTTTTAGATACAGCTTGTTGTTGTTAGATGTATGCGTTCAAATATCTTGTCCCTGTCTGGTTTGCATTGTCACTCTCTTAATGAAATCCTGTGACCAGAAGTCCTAATACGTTTCTTTAAAAGTAAAATTTACAGTGAAATGCAAACATCTTAAGCATACAGGTCAATCAGTTTTTATGAATATATGCACTTGTTTACTTCAAATATAGAGAATGTTCCCACCACCCCAGAAAGTTTTTTTGTGCCTCCTTCCAATCAATTCCTACCACACATAGATTACCATTGTTCTGATTTCTATCACTGTAGTATAGTTTCGCCTGTTCTTGAATTTCAACTAAATGGGATAATTTAACCTTCTGTGTCTGGCTTCTTTCACTCAACATAGTGTTTATGTGCTTATCAGTAGTTCATTTAAAAATTTTTGAGTAGATATTATATGTGAATGTACCACACATTTATTTATCCATTCTACTGTTGATAGACATTTGGATTATTTCCAGTTTTTGAAAACAATGTATGTCACTGCTATAAGTACTTTTGTGTTTCTGTGAACATATTTTAATGGATTCTTACCTGAACTCGGTTCTCTTTCATTGGTCTATTTTTTGAATTTTATGCCAATATAAAACCGTTCTGATTAATATAGCTTTATAGGGAACTTTGAAATCAAATTGTATAAGTTCTCTTTAACACTTTTTCATCCTAGGTTCTTTGTATTTCTATGTAAATTTTAGAATCCACTTACCAATTTTACAAAACACCTGTTTGGATTTTGATTAGAATTGCATGTAATCCATAGCAGGTTTATTTACAGAAAATTGATGTCTTCCAGTCCATGCACATGGTGTGTCACCGTTTATTTAGATCTCTATTCATTTCTCTCTGCAGTGGTTTAGAGTTTTCAGTAGAGAGGTCTTTTGCCAAATTTATTCACAAATATTTTATGTTTTTTTGTTATTGTAAATGGAATTTTTTTAAATTTAAATCTCTAATTTGATTGTTACAAGTACATAGAAACATTTTATATTTGCATCTTGTTCTTATATCTTGCTATCTTCCTAAATTCACTTATTTCTAGTAGTTATTTAGTAGATTCCTTATGATTTTTGTATAAACAATCATATCATCTATGAATAAAGGCAGTGTTACTTTCTCCTTCCCAGTCTTCCTTTTATTTTATTTTATTGTCTTGCCTTATTGTGCTTGTTTGAACTTCTGATAAAGTGTTTAATAG